CTCCATTTGTTTTCTGAACTTGACTGGAGAAGGGTGGAGGGCTGCTTGTTTCCTCTAGCTGATGAGGAGACCTCAGGGTGACCTCTGGCCCAGGTCAGGGCTTTTATATCATAACCAGTGAAAGTGGCCTGTGATTAGGCGCAGACGCTACCCTGAGAGGATAGCAACATTCCTTAGTAAGAGATGAACCTATCTCTAACTTAAGAGCTTCTTTGATTTATGGATGCCAGGGGCAATAACCAGAGTAGATAACACAGAACTGCCAGAGTACCCATCCCAGAAGCCGGGCTTCCAGACCTACCCTCCTGTCCGGCCTGCAGAATGTCACCTGCACAGCACCACACAGTGTATGTACTCTTCACATCAAGGGGAGTGTTTGTAGCTGGGAATCAAAGCACTCGTTTTTTCCAGTTGAAGACTAGGGCATAATGTCTTTTGTTGTTGCCATAAGAATGTCTTTCTTAATCAGTTTTTGAGCTTCTCATATCTTAGGAACTACTAACAACATTAACATTCTTCAAAACTTGAACGGCTTGCCATTGAAATGGGAGTCAAGGCAACCTGATCACTTCCCACCTCCCCATTTTGTGGGCACCTCATTCCATCATGTCTCCAGGTCCTCATGCTGCATCCTTATTAGACAGATCTCCCCTCCCCTCCCAAACTTCAGTTAGTAAACTGTTTTGATTTTTATTTGTTTTGTTTACCACTTACAAGCCACAAAATCTTGGGCAAGTTAAGTAGCTTTTCAGAGCCTCAGTTTCCTTCTCTATAAATAGAGGAAATTGCCATGAAGATTCAGAGAAAATGCACATAAGGTATGTAGCACAGGGTCTGACTCCTAGTAGGAATTCACCCAGTGTCCCCCTCACCTTTCTCCACTTGGGGTCTGGATCTGTCCTTACGCAGGAATACCTCAGAGTCTTGACTCACCCTTCTGCAATTCTTATTGAAATTTGTTCTGGTACCATATGTCAGGACTTCACTACAAAGCTGACTTGATAACCTCTGTCAAACTAATTCCAGGGAAAGCTTTGAAGGCTGAAATCATTTTAATGGGCTTACTCACAGTAAAAGAGGGTTTCTGAAAATGCAGGGCCTAAATGTGAAAGAACACCCTCTTATACTGGGCAAGCCAGAGTGGAGGATATTTTTTTGGCATTTATTTAGAGATCCTCAAATAAAAAAACTTTTCCTTTGTAAGAGATCAGGCATTCCCCCAAATTAATGTTTCCCTGGATTTATTCTTACCTAATTATGGAAAAATCAGGAATCCTGGATTACCTAAACTATTGATTTTTCAAACCTTGATGTGTTTAAGCATGAAAGTCATACAGAATTTCAGGAAAAATGCCCTGAGATTTTGATTCAATACATCTTTGAAGAGGCCCTCACTTTGGAAAATAGTGGACTAGACTGCAGACTTTATCCACTCCACAAACCAAATTGACAAAACAAGCCAGTTCACTCCATTCAAACCATGAGTTAATTTGAACAGGAAACAAGTGCTGACTAGCAGGAGTAAAAGCAATCAGTTTCAAGTATCTATTACTTGACAATATTCAACCTGCTCACCACCATTGCTTTTCCAGTGCTGGTGAGTAAAAGGTGCCCAATAAATTGAATATTAAATATGCATGATATTTAAAAAAGCAAAATAAAACAATATGGCCACAACAAAACAGATTGGGTGGTATGGGATGTACTCTAGGGAAAGGGTATGTCAATTTTAATAGAGAAAAATTTTAAAAATCTATATATACATTAGTTGCTTTAAACTTTATTGCAAACTTCTGACTTATTTTAGAGCCTGGGTTACCTTTGGTGGTAACCCAGTTTGAATATGTGTGAGTCCCATTTACCAGAAAACAGGCTGTTCCTAACATAATATGATTCTAGTGACGGGAAGGGCCCCTCAGTGACGTACTTACTCAGTGACATGTGCATGCTGGGAGGATGTTAGGCTTGACCCAACACCTTCGTTTCATGATGAGAGAGCAGAGCTCAGAGAAGGAATGCCAAAATGAGTTAGATGCAGGAATCTTCCCTTCTCGCAGGTCTCAGATTCTGTCACATCTCCCTGCCTCTACAAAGAGAAGTTAGGAGCTACTCCAGGACAATTCTGAACCATAAACGTCTATGACTGTTTTGACTGACTTGATCGAATGCACACGATGGCCAGGATAAAGCCTCATCTTCAGAAGACCATAGATCACACAGACAGGTGCAAGGCCCTCAGCAGCTGTGCGGGTTGACGCAAGCTTTCTCAGGGAAAATCTGCATCTCATACGTATGGCTGTTTGTACATGACTCCAAATATGAATAATGAAAAATATACTCTGTTAATGACCTGAACTTTTGTTTACATGATATCAAGCACCCTGAATCATGAAAGCAATCATCGAGAATTACAATCCAGAGAATTACAAGAAATATTGCAAGGTTTGCATGAGTGATCTTAGCATTTTCTTAGGTTCAGTTCAAAAGGGCATTCAGTAAAGTTCAAGTAATTTATGAATAATCTAGGAATGTTAGTGGAAATATAATCTAATACATTGGAACTGACTACTTAAAAAAAAAAAAAAAAAGTAACAGAGTGGCTCCTGATTAATCAACACCAATCATTCACATATTTTCAAGTCAGCTAAACTAAAATGAGCCTAAGGGAGAGGAGAAGTAAATTAAGAGAATGAATAAATTATATAGCTTCCCTCAGAAAGCCCACACTTGCAGCAGTGTGCTTTGTGGCAGGCACATCTAGAGACAGAGTAAAGTGATTTAAAAAATGGACGAACTCAGGTTCCGGTCCCTGCTCTACCTCTTACCGACTGAGAGTCCTTGGGCAAAATCCAAAGACTGTCTGTCAGAATCTCAGTCTCCTTTCCCATAAAATGAGATAATAACGCACCCATCTTATAGACTCCTCAGAAGAATCAAGAAGAGAATGTAGATCAAGCCAGATCAAGCCCTAACACATGGAAGGTCCTACAGATGTGTTTGTTATTTTAGGATCAAGACACAGAATTGTGTTCCAATATAGGGAGTAGAAAAAGCAAAGTGTGCAAGAATAACAGTATCCTGAAGATGCATCAGGGGTTAGATGCATAATCTCTGTGAGGAAGAGAAAGTAAGGTCTTTATTTCATTGAATATCTAGGAAACAGTTAAATGATAATCAAGTGTAACTGTTCACTTTACTGTGCAAACTGCTTCAATTAAAAAAACCAAACACACACAGAAAAGAAGTCCCACAGAAGCAGGTCCTCTTACATCTGAAATGAGGTTTTTGCTTCACAAGGCCTCTTCACACATGCCCTGGCAGATAGGTGAGGACAAGTTGTAGTGTCAGGATCAAGAGCACAGGCCATGGAGCCTGACAGCCAGATCTCTCTTCCCTCCAAGATCAATGAGATCTTGAGCTGGTCATTCACTTTTCTCACCTGTACAACTGGGATGATGACATCTAGAGCTGCTTATTTGACTTTAAAACATAAGATGTAAATTTGGTTCTTGGTTGGAGTTGATCAACCAGAAGCCACCCTCTTCTTCTTCCTTCTTTCTTTTCAATAACCAGTTCCAATGCACTGATGTCATAGGGCAGCTCAAAGGATTAAATAAAACCATGTGTGCAATGATCTTAGTCCAGTACCTGGCACACAGGAGTCAATACCTAGTTCCTAAAATGATCCTGATATCATTAATCCCCATATTCTGTTTTAGGAACCTGAGATTGAGCAGCTACTTAACAGCAGAGAGGGACCCAAGCCTCTGGGACAATCTGTATCAAAGCACAGGTTTCATGGGGATTCTGCTAAAGCTGTGGCCCAACAGGAAGGATGACTTGTTAGAGGCCCCAAAGCATGTCAGGAATGCTGCAGGGCACAGCATCTGGCCCTTTTGGTTGGTAGTTAATTCATAGACTGCATGCACAAACCTGCTCAAGTGCTGCAAAGAGCTAGCTCATCAACCATGAAGGAAATTCAACCACTCAGGACAAAGAAGAGGCTTTGGACTTCTTGTGACATTCCCTGGTAATTGTGCTTCTTGGACAGTCTAATGTTAGGAGCTGGAGGCCATCTGCACTGTTTTACTGGTTCCTTTGCAATTACTTTGGAATGAAAAACAAACTCAGAATTTAAATTCAAGACTGTTTTTCCCGATAATGGATTCCCTTGTTTTCTACTAAGTCTGAGAAGTTGGCTTGGGCCAAAGTTGGCTATGGGCTCCCTATCACCTCCTATCCACTTGTACTCATTCTTATTTTGTACCAGATTCTTTGCAAAGACTGTGCTAAGCCTGGAGTTCAGTGTCGGCCAGCAGTGGTGAGAAGTGGAGAACAGCACAAGTGTAAAACCCACAAGGGAACAGCTGTGTTGAAGGTGACAGAGCTGCTCCTGAGGGAGTTTAAGAAAGAAAAGGTGCTGTGTGCAAGGGGAAGTGTGGCCTTAATAAATGAAGTGCCTCTTACACAGCCCTCATCCATTGCCCACCGGCAACCAAGACAGTGGGAATGCTTATTCTAGTATTTGGCAACTTCTGAGCATACTGAAAAGAGCAAAGGAGTATGAAGTGCAGCAGATTTCAAAGTGGCAAACTTTAAAGCCCTGGGACCCTCTTCCACAGTCACAGAGGGTGGGATTTGTAAAGGGGAATATATATTGCAAATCTGTCTTCCTCTCAGCTTCAGGATCACAGGAAAGGTGTTATACATAGTGTAGTTTAAACCACCAATTCCAGTTTTGTCCAGGCTGAAGAATGTTGCTAACCTGCATATTTTGACTTTTTGCCACAACCATTCTTATTGGCTTCCCATTTCTCCAGAATCTTAGGAGAGCTCTCTGTGCACTTTAAATATGAATGATATGAACATGAGCTTTGAACCTGAAGGCAGCAGGCTGCATTTATAGAACTGGCAAGCTGAAAATACAGAACTGCATTTACATTAGACAGTGCTGATGGCTGGAAGAATTTGGTGCAGTGAGTAAAGTGTTTTGAACTTACCTGCATCTCGGTCCCTGATACAGTAGTCTGGAGAATTCTCAAAATACACAAGGTCATTTTTCGTTGGCTTCTTAAACCTCTTGTTAGCCACAGTGAAACCAGTGCCATCCTGGTTCATGACGACCTGGATAGCCCCGTTGTACTTCCTCCACAGATAATCGCCAGTTTTTCTGAAGTCAGCCATGGCCAGCCAGCATGTCCTCAATGTACACGAGCCACTCACGCCATGACACTTGCATTCTTGTTTCAAGAACCGCTTCACAGCCTGCCCAAAAAAGATGGGCAAGTTCAATGGTGGACTCAAGCTCTTGACATGTGCTACAACTTTCCAAACAACCAAGAAGTGATTGAAGACACAGGACCCTGGGGCTTAGGACTGGGAGATGTCTGAGGTCACTTGCTGGTCACTTCAGCCACACTGCTCTGACTAAATAGCATGCAGAGAGGTGGGGAGAAAGTGGGAAGCAGTGCCTGACTGTGAGCTCCATTAGGCTATCAGTGTAACAAAAATCTCATGAACTTGAATTTAATAGGGTATGGGGCCAGTTTGAAGAGTAAGGCAATGAATTAGAGTATTTTCTTTTTTTAATATATCTTTATTGATCTCAGAGAGAGGAAAGGAGAGGGAGAGAGAGAGATAGAAACATCAATGATGAGAGAGTCATTGATAGGCTAGCCCGCAACCAGGACATGTGCCCTGACAGGGAATCAAACCCCGATCCCCTGGATCCTAGGTCGATGCTCAACCAATGAGCCATGCCTGGCCGGGCAGAGTATTTTCTAAATAAATATAGCTTTATTATATTAAAAATGTATGCTATTATGCAAATTAGGTGAACAAAGTAATTGCTAAGCCCGCATCATTTAATAAACCGATAATAGTGATTGTTAGTATTTATGAGGTGCTCTCCACATTCTAGGCATTGTGCTAATACTTTCTACAGTCTATCTCAGTGACCTCAGTCTTCACAGCAATCTTATGCTACTGTACTATATTTATTTTTCACATCTTAGGAGGGAAAGCTCCTGGACAGGTGGGACTCAAATAGGGCAGAGTGGGGGAGTAAGGATGGCCTTCCTAGGGTTGTGTCTGTGACAGAGGCCTGCTATCCAGGTGACCCAGTGAGCCTCATACCAAACACCAAATATAAAAGTATGGGAGTGGGGGCATATGGGGGAGTTTCAGTTCCAAAAAAGTTCATTCTGACATCCTTTAAAAATGCCCAGATCCTTGTGACCTGGCATGCCAAACTAATGCCATTCCTCCTGCTCACTTCTGTCCTTGCCCTCTAAAGATGGCTCATGACGACAAGGACAGATTCCAAGTCAGGGCTCAGCCCATCCTGTATGACAAACTAAGAGGGAAACACCTGGGTGATGAAGCCCAACCTGGAATGATGTGAGTGAATTCATAGTCGTAGGGTGACCATTATGTCTTGACTTCTTCAGCTCCAGAATGACTTTGACACATTTCCAACCATGTGAATAAATTGGGACTGACTTTCTGGAGTGAAGAACATTTCTGCACACTTAGTTCTACTAGACCCTTGGTCAAAATTAAGTCTGTAACAGGCAAACCAGGTTAGTGCACCAGGGGTAAGTTACGTGGGGTGAGGCTCTGAGGAGGGGTAACCTGGAATATTGGGATCTATGTGTGTTTGAGGGGGCTAGGGGAGGAGTGAGCATGAGTGCTTTAGGAAGTTCCACCTGGGCTCCTGCTGGAGCCTCCCACTGACATCCCATTAATTATATTATTATATTATATTAATTATATTATAAATTATATTAATTAATTATAATATAACATAATTATGTTATATAATTATATTATACCAGAATCTCAGGTAGTAGGCAAAGCAGGCTTACAACTACAGCCTCCAAGTTCTTAGAAATAAATTCTCTCAATGTGTTACCCTAAGAATTTTGTTCAGAGTACCACCTTGGAAAATGTCGCAAAGGGGGTTTTCTGCCCCCTCTGTCTATGCCCCCCACCTCAGATACCCTCTGTCTTGGGGATCCAAATTGAGGATGGGGACTCTCAGCAGGGTGGTTTCTCCTCTTCTGCTCTGTGATTGAGCCAAAGGTCAAAGCCATGGTCATATGAGATCTCCAAGGCTGATCACCTCCATAGCCCTTCTTCTTGTCACAATGCTTTGAGTATCTGATGAAGGCAGGTCCTAATTGTCAGTTGTGATCTCTCTTGAGCTTGGGAATTGATTATGAATGCTCATTCTTCACAGCTTATTTTTTTTAAAGCTGAATTATTTACTCATAAGTTAATAATCCTAACTTTAAAAATGACCTTATAGCCCTGGCTGGTGTCGCTCAGTTGGAGGGGCATTGAAACGTGCACCAAAAGGTCTCTGGTTTGATTCTTGGTTATGGCACATGCCCAGGTGGCGGGTTCCTTTCTCAGTCAGGGTGCGTGTGGGAGACAATCCATCAATGTTTCTCTCTCTCTCTCTCTCTCCCTTTCTCTCTTTCTAAAATCAGTAAAAACGGTTTTTAAATGACAGGATATATTACTGCCCTCCCTTTGTAATGCTAAGCTTCCAGGTTGAAAACTTCAAAGTTGGTATTTTTATATGATTAATTGGATGACTTGCATATTAATTTAAGATTGGATCTTAAACATACACCTTATAAATCCTTAAAAATACATGTGGCAGTACACACTATTGATCATCACTCACTATTGAATGGAAATAGCCATTCCCCTCTTCCTTCCTCAGTTTTGTTAGGGTGTTGGGCAGCCACATGCTTCAGAGCTAGCAAGGTCTCTGTCTGAACCCAGAGCAGACCAAATCAATAATAGTAATTTCATTGTCTTGCCACTGAATTTTTTTCAGCAGAGGGCATGTGATGATTCAACTGGGACCAATATAACGTCAGGAGTAATCTGTCAGGGACTTCTAAGAAAGGTTTCTTCACTCTAAATAATATATTTAAAATCCTAGTATAAATTGCATTGTGCTTTTCTCAAGTTTTGAATTATGCATACTCTGCTTCCCTCCATTCTTTTGAATAAAGAATTAACTGGATAATATTATAGACCTACTATAATAAGGAAAAAATAAGGGAGGATTACATTGCATCTTCCAAATAGTCATCAAAAACCTATTAAACACACCATTCACAGGAGAAATACAAAGTACTAACAAAAATAATGCAAACTGAAACAATACAACACTACATATATATGTGTGTGTGTGTATGCACACACACACACATATATNATAGTCATCAAAAACCTATTAAACACACCATTCACAGGAGAAATACAAAGTACTAACAAAAATAATGCAAACTGAAACAATACAACACTACATATATATATTTGCCTCACAGATTAGCATATAGTAAAAAGATTGACGATAAGGGTATTGGTAAGAGAATGGGAAAGAAGATACTTTAACAAACTGTTGGTGGGAACGTAAACTGATGTGCCATTTAAATGGAAAGCATTTTTGCAATACTGTAAAAATTTTCAATGTATGCATCCTTTAACCTTGATGATTGCACTTTGGACATACTTGCACAAGTTTTGAAGGATTCTCACTCACATGAATGTTCAATACAGCATAATTAGCTATAGCAAAATATTAGGAAAAACCCCAAATGACATCACTAGGAAAAAATGGTTAAGCACTTTATGGTATATGCTTAATAATGGAATATTATGTGGTCTTTGAATAAGTCTTTAAGTCTTACAGTCATAAAAGGAAGTCAAGTGATAGAAGCAAAATACAGAACAATATATGTTGTATAATCTACTTTTTAAAGGCTTGCATATGTGTGTATACACAAAGGAAGAAGGGAAAAAATGTTCTTTTATAATCAGGCTGTAGTCTGAGGGGGTTGCATGGTCAGAAGAAACAAAAGTCCAACCATCTGCATAGTAAAGTACATACAGGAATTTGGGGATTGTTCCATGGCACCTGGAAAGAGCAGATCAGTGGTTCTCATTCTGGCTACACATTAAAATCAGCTGGCGATGTTTCCAGCACACAAAGCCACCTCTGCCTGGACTCTAGAAACTGGGCTGGGAGGCCAGCCTTGTGGGTACTTCTACTTTCAGGTGCTTTTTCCCCCATTAATTAATCTTTATTGTTGAAAGTATTACCGATTTCCCCCTTTTTCCCTCACTGACACCCCCTCCTGTACCCCCAGGCCTTCTCAGGTGCTTCTTATATGCAGCCAGAGTTGCAACTCTCCTCCAAACCCAGGAATGCTGTGGAGAGTAGTGAGACCACGGCCACAGGGTGCAGCCCACCGAGGGCCAGATCAGGTGAGCCATTTCTGTGGACAGGGCAGCATTAAAGTTCTCGGTAGAGGAAAATCTGACTATTGAATTTACTCTATGTCTCCCAGGAAAAAATAGCCACAAGCAACAATTTGCACTAGTGCTGTTTTGTAGGAAATGAAAGATGAGGATGACCAGTGGGGTAAAAACCTAATGCTTTTAGAGGATAAGTTTACAGAAGAGGTTCCTGTCTGAAAGGATGCACTCCACCCCCACCCCCGGGGTCTCAGGAGGCACTGGGTGAGGGACTGGTGGACATCCACACAGGCCGTTGATGAAGCGAGTGCACATATTTTATTTGCTCCTTAAAGGAAGTAGTGAAAAAAGAAGAACCTGGGGATATCCCAGAGGCTACCAGGCAGCCTGGGGCTTCTTGGGTTTGTTTAATTATTCCTTTCAAATTCTTTTTATTTTTTTGTTTCTCTCCAGTATTTTATTTTATTTTATTTTATTTTATTTTATTTTATTTTATTTTATTTTATTTTATTTTATTTTAATTTTTTTATTTTTTAATATTTATTTATTTATTTATTTATTTATTT